ACACAAAAACAATTTTTTAATAAAAGGGTTTTTGGGGGGAATCCTAAGGCATAATGTATGTATGTATATATGTACTGTTTTAGGAGATAATTATCTAAAATAATAACCCCAGAAGTTTAGACTTTTTTTCCTTTAAATGAGAATAGTCTAGTTCTGTGAAATATAGTGTTGGAATTTCAATTGGCATTGCATTGAATGTATATAGCAGTACCAAAACAATTTTTTAATAAAAGGGTTTTTGGGGGGAATCCTAAGGCATAATGTATGTATGTATATATGTACTGTTTTAGGAGATAATTATCTAAAATAATAACCCCAGAAGTTTAGACTTTTTTTCCTTTAAGAATGAGAATAGGAGCCCAACAGAATGGCATATTTCCTCTTCATCACCCCCAGGTTTCTCTCTATTCTATAAATATATAAAATAGAAGAAATTCTTAACTCAGTCTCAGATTATTAAAAAGCATCTTCTGAACCAGGCATATTATTGAGTGCTAAGATTCGATAACTAATTGTTGACATCTGTTTTCTCAGTTTGAGAAATTAGAGACAAGGGTATATTTCTTGGGTTGAAAAATTAAGGACAAATTATAGCATCCATGACCTACTTATATTTTCATTTCAAGTAAGCCCATTGTTAAAAAGTACAGTGACCTGAACTTTGCCTTTTGATATTTCTATGCTTGGCCTAAAGTATTTATTTCTGCTTGATGTTTTAAGTTATTTTTCCTTTAGCTTAAAAACTGGGAATGCTAAGTGTCAGCCAAACTTAAGAGCATTGGGCTGCTGTTGCTTTGTGTAGGTTCTGGTTTCCTTCTTGTTTCTATTTCATACAAAATCCTATACAATGATACAGCAATTACCCTCACTGCCCAGAACTTCACCCATGGCAAAAATAAACAGGAAGGGAGAAAGAATCTTGAAAGTCAGTAACTGTTTTCCTGTTGATATGTCAAAAGAAACATGGTGAAGTGCATTCTCCAGAACTCCGCCTTCTCCATCTTTTGACATGCTTTGGGCCCATATCCCTGACCAGGATTCTTGGCACCAGGGAAGCAGCGTGTCCGGCATTCTGGTCCAGGTTCCCTCTGCCATTTGTTCCAAACTTGTACTGGTCCTGGATGTAGAGCAGGCCCTTGGCACAGACTATTGAGCAAACAAGTGCCACAGATACTTCAAATACAGAGTAGCAGTAAATTACAGAAGTATTTGTTAGACCCAGAACACAAACTCCAAGCCCTTTAGCCTTCCCAGCTCCACTTAGCATTTTAATGTTTGAAGCATTTTTGGGAGTTTGCTTTATCTTATATTTGACAGGGGGTTAGTATAATTTATGTGTTAAGCAAATTGCTCTGGAGAAACTTTCATAATATATTAAGGAAAAATAAGCTTCCATAATGTCTGTGATGTTAGTATCTTTTGGTGTTTAGATGGCAGATAGCTAGAATTTTCTTCTTCATTATCTCTTCTATATTTTCCACAATGAATATACACTGATATAAATTAGAGAAATGAGCTGTCCTGGAAGGTATCCTTTCTCAATATATGATCTGGACAGAGAATGAGCCAGAGATACACAGAGAGTCCTAGATACAGTTCCTTCACTATCCAACTCAAGAAGAGTGAACTCAGGCACGCAATACATTCAGATAGTGAGCAAAGCTTACGTTACAAAAGTAGTAAGTGAGAATACTATAAAATGTTCTAAACAAGTGGAGACTTTTTTTTTTTTTTTTTTTTTTTTTTTTTGTAGACTTTTTTTTTTTTTTTTTTTTTTTTTGGTTTTTTGAGACAGGGTCTCACTATGTGGTTGAGACTGGCCTCATTATATAACCCAGGCTGGTCTCAAACTCACAGCGATCCTCCTGCCTCAGTGCCCCCACCCCCAGTGCTGTGATTATAGGCGTGCACCACCACACCCGGCAAGACTATCTTTCATATGTAGAAAAAATACGGTTAAGAAAAGGCCAAGAGACTATGAGGGTTAAGTATTTTCCATGATACATAGTAAGTATTTAGTAAAGGGCAGTTTGTTTCAATGCAGTTGTATGCATGGTTATATTAATAGGCATTGAGTAGGCATTGAAAATTCCTAAGGAATTCTAGACTTGGCCAGTGGAAGAGATATCTGAGTATTTTAAATCCTACAGGTGGTTCTCATGTGCAGTTAAGTTTGAGATTTCACACTAGAATTAAAGCCCTGTAGAAAACTGAAAGACCCAGGGCAATAATGGACATATTTCTTTACAGATGAGTGATTTAGCTCTGGAAATCTGATTAAGAGGCTCAGAGTCTGTAGCTCTGAAAATGAAGGTGATCAAAAAGAGCTCTAACATGAGCTGACTTGGAAGGCAGAATAGCATGAAAGGGAAGCAGCCGGGCAGAGGTTTCATCCCAAAACCAAGCTGATGGATTTGGCCCAGACAGAAGCATGGCTGCTTCTCTGGAGGCATGGACAGGATTCAGAAGAGGCTGAGGCTGGAAGTGGGGAGACAGAGCAAAAAATAAACCAACAGAAACTAAGCCCAGTAATCTCAGGTGTGAGAGGTATGAAGAGTGGTGGACATGTGTGGTCCTCAATGTGACTTGTGCCACAAGGCCCTTGGATGGCAGTAAGACAGCAGATTCTAGAACATTCCTCAGGTTTTTTTATTGAAGCAAGCTGCACTATTAGCAAGCATTGGTGTCTTTCGTGGAAACTCCAAAGTGAGAACCATTGTTCCAGGTGGACTAGTATCCCCAAGAAACCCAAGCCAGGACTCCAAATAATGTAGGCCTTATTTTCAGTTAGCTTCAGCTGATATGGCCTGTTAGTCAACCGGAAACCTCATACAGAGGGTACAGGTGTGTTTGAAATGTGCTATACCTTTTTAACCATTTTTAATTATTTCATCTTGACAGTAGCCCTGGGTGGTGAACATTTTATCACTCTTATTTTCTTTTAACTTTGCCAAAGCAGAATAGCTCGTAAGAGATGAGTATGGATTTAGATTGAGATTCACAGATATTTGACTCCGACCCCTTCCCTTTTCCCCAGGCTTCTGCTGCTCCCCCAATGTCATCAGTGAGAAAGAAGGGGGGAAGAGACTGAGGCCAGGAGCTCGTCCTGTAGGGAAAGTGTGTGTAGTGAAGAGAGAAAGAGCACTGAGATGGGCAGCAATGGGAAGCCCAGTACCATGCAGCATCCTAAACCCTGGGCCAGCTGGGCGTACGTGGTGGGGAGAGGATGAGGTCCCATGTGGTTTTCTCACAGCAGCTGTCTTCACGGCCCTCTGATGGCTTCTCACTGTCACATTTCGAAATCCACATAAAGGTGTACTCAGCTGCAGCTTAGCCAGATGTTGTAGGTGTACCTGAAGTTGCTTATTGTTGTGCTGCTTCTGTGAACTCTACATGTAAACAACAAACGGGCTGTTGCTTGAAGGGACACTGGTTCTTTACGCTGGAGGGGTAAAAACATTACTCCCGTAGCTGCCAACTCAGATTTCTTTTCAGAGAAAGTTGCCATAAAAAGTGGAGGGAGCATTTATTGGAGCCATGAGGCTTTGAAGGCGGGGGAAATACGATGTCTAAGAAAATAGACTGCTCTGTGGAAGCAGGGTCCAGTAGTGCACAGGGCTCCCGCTGCCCCTGATGGGTGTTTCACTTCTCTGATCTATTGTTCAACTTAATAGACTCAGAGACCTGTTTATCTCATGCCACATGACGACACTCTTCTGCTCAGTGCCCCCCACGGGCTCCTCACTTCCTTCAGAGTTATAAGCACCCATATCTTAATAGGGGCCAGCAGACTTGTTTCCCAGGAGCCTCTGCACTCTCAAAGGTGGGGGCTCCCCCTTGCCTCCGGGTCTCCTTAGTCCGTGTTCTCTCTGCCTGGAAGCTCTCCCTGTGCTGCTCAGCCCTTAATCTCTTTCTCAGGTCACTCAGTGAGGTTGACTCAGACTTCCCTGCCCACTGGTATGAACTGACCTTGCCTTGCTTTGTTATTCTCCACAGCTCTTCACACCATAACACATGTTATGGCTTTATTGCTTCTTTTTATTGACACTTTTCATATTTGGAAAGACCATTTTGATAGGAAGTGTGAAAAACTAAAATTAATAAAAGGAAGGAAAATCTCAAACAGTAAGCTGCCCACATCCAAAAGAAAAAAAAATAGTACCAGTTGCAATATTGATACATCCAGATGAATAGTTGTACTTTTCAAAACATGGAGGGGTAAGGAGGCAGAAATTTAACATGCAAATAAGACATTAATTTCTTGGGAAGAGTATGTGCTTAGCTTGAAAGAGCAACAAAATGACCTCTGTCTGATAACATGCTGATTTATAATTTGATGTTTTTGACAGCTGGGTCATGAATCTAATTGGACGGTATCGCAGAGTTTCCGGATCAGAAAACATAAGCCCACGGTGGGAACAGGATTACCATCTGCAGCCCATGGGCAAACTGGGCTTATTTTATGAATACCTTGAAATGAGTAAGTTGTTAAGTGAAGTTGTAAGTGATGTAAAATGTGGGAGTGTGCTTTAGAGTCCAGAACCATCTGTTGTAGAGCCAGATGATTATTTAGTATATTGTAATGAAGAACAGTATGTTTTTCTCCACTAGATAAAATTATACAACTAGGCTTTCAAATAAGGTGGCTGTGTGTGTCTTTGTCAATATTTATGTTGTTTGGAGCTAAATATTTATTACTGAGCAATGAAATGGAATATTCATCGAAGTACTTCTTCGCCATTAGTTCTGAAAACAATCTGACCGTGTTGTCTGAGGATGGACTTAGCAACTGTCAGTAGATATGATTCAGCTCGAGCTGGCATCGGAGGGCACTCAGTCCTCCAACTGCCTAGAAACAGGGATGGTGAGGGCAAAAGACAGACTTGTGTAATTTCATCATACACGAGGGGCTGGAAGGTCAGTGCCTCAGAGTGGACAAAGAGAAAGACACTCCAAGCTCACCACTATTTATTAGGTGCACACAATGGTGACAGGAATTCTACCCTGATGAGGATCTAAGGTTGACGAGGGTCTTATGTTGATGAGGGCGGTAAAGAGAGCATTCTTACAATAGTAGGTGGGACAAGATAGCAGACTAATAAAGAATTTGTCCTTTCCCCAGGTGAAACCTTTCTCTTTTTTTATTACTATTCAGTTCTTGAAGAACCAGGATGTCTTCGGCTGCTGTACTTTTGCCCTTGAGTGTCACAGTATCAGGGGACCATTAAGGCCTCAGCTGTGACCAGAGGCAAACTGAGTTATGTGTCCACGAGCCACAGCCGGCTCACAAGGCAAGGTGACACTGAGCTTTAGAGAGCTATAGTCATACTTTAATTATGAAATGATTTTTCCTAAAAAGTTATGTAGAATGGCTCTCAACAGACTGGAGCGCATGCAGGCTCAGCTGTTGGCACATAGCTTCCGCACTGTCCCCTAAGAAAGCCCACAAGAGAATGATGCTCACTCAGGGAGGCTCACAGGTCCCCACACCACTTTTGCCTTGGGCAGCATATCTGTCTCTTGGCCACTGGTTTCCACCTGGTTCCTTAAATGGCCTGGTGAATGGGAAACCATTCTGTTGGCTTGGAACTCAGATTTAGCACACAGGTCATCTTGGTGCTGAACATGTTTGGGTGTTTGTGTCTGTGTATGGGCTCTGTTTCTCTTCAGTTTAACCTGATTTTTGAGCGCTCTGGTGCTGTTTAAATGGATCTCAAAATATATTTCCATAGAAAACACCATCTTTTCTATTATGCATGACACACTTGTATGTGATAGACAGTTAACAACTAACATATTTTGTACTTGTGCCCTTTCAGCTAACCATTGCATTGAACTAGTTTTTGGGGTTTTTTGTTTTTGTTTTTTGTTTTTAAGAATAAGAGAATAGAAAAAGAGGCATAAAATTTTCATTGACAGGCTTTGAATTTATGCATAGGGATTTTTATGTTTGCAAGGACACCCTTTGTGGTCCCTATTTACAAGTCTGCAGATCGAGGTGGGTTTTATTAAATAACATTCTTCGTATAAAATAATTGCTTTTTAACATATACATTATGCATGAAAATACATCTGCTTTCTTTGGTGAGTAAAAGGTTCATTTTGTGGCTTCTTCAGTCAACAATACTCTGCAGCCGCCTGAGGTCTGATTTGAATTTCATTTCTGCTTGTGTTTCGTGATCAGGATTTATTAAGGGTGTAGCTGCCATACATAATGTAGAAGCCACATTTATTTTATTTATTTTCAAAAGGACTCCAAGACGATTACCTATTCCAAAATGAGTCATAATTACAAATATATCTTCTGGGAGCCTTTATCAGAATTAATAACAACATCCTGGTGCAAAATAGCACTTATTATTTTAGCCTCCCCAAAAAACACCTGGGAAAAAGTTATTTTTCTGTAGTTGGTAAGTCAGATGATGTTGAAAGGAAAAGTTTTATACTCATGCTTTCTGGGAGATGTTGACAAGACTTTTATGGATTCATAGGCTCATTAAAATAGGAACTAAATTTGGCCTCATTCTACCCTCTCAGAAAAGGTGAAATAACAACTGATGTGGACAAATTTCTAGATATACTAAATTGTTTTCCAGTTATCCAGTTAATACCTAATAGCTTAAAAAACGTAATCAGTTCCTGAGAATCAGTCTGTTATTGTATTGTATTCCACAGCACTGTGAAGTCTGGCTTTTGTCCTTGTAGACAGTAGAAGATAAAGTTTCAAAGGCCTTTTGAGTTATTTCTGCTCCTCTAAAAATAAATATTGAGTGCCTTTGGGAGTAGTTTCCTAGCACACAGTTGCCTCTGTCCCACCTCCTCATGCTGACAACACCCTCACCTCCCATACTGATTAGGACTTCTGCTGCTGAGAGGAGGCATCTTCCTGCAGGTGTCCCTGGAGCTCTCCATCCCTGGCTAGGCCTTGCACCAGCCACCAGCCTTTTTTCTTTGCTCCCATTTGACACAGAACCCCCCTCGGCTTTTCACATCTCTGGTGGCTTCTTTCTTCTGGGCCTGAGCCACACTTGCTACTATAATCACATGTAAGTCAGCTCTCTCCTTGCTGGCAAGCCTGTTGGAGGTAGCTACCAAGTCCTCTGAGTCTCTTAGTCCTCAGTTAGTACTGAAGATTATTTAAGTGACTCGGAGCAACTGTACAACCTTTAGTTGTTTTTACATGCACATTGCCCCATCTTATCCCCACCAAATGCTGTGTGGCCTGTGATTTCCTTTGAGTCAAATTTTTATTTATTTTTTTTTAGTTTTATTTTGGGGTGGTACCAGGGACTGAACTTGGGCCCTTGCTCTTGTGAAGCAGTCAGTGGAACCACCGGGCTAAATCCCCGACGCTGAGTGAAATTTTTATTAGTGAATTTCCCAATTTCCCACTGTGCTTTAAATTATTGAGTGACCCTGGGGCATTAGCCAAAGTCACCTCCCAGAGTATTGGTCCTGATTATGGGAACTTAGTCACAAAATAAGAGAAATACAGGGTATTGGTGTTAACATCTAAAAGCTATAGACACTTTTGTTCCACAACTGCTATATGGCGCAGTCACAGTGCACTGAGAACTCGCTGGCATCCTCCGTGGCAGGTGCCATAAATGAAGGACACCAAAGTGTGAAGCGGTTTCTGTGGTACAGCCCCTTATACCCATGCCATGTTCACTCAGTCTATCTCCAGGCTACTTTTTAAAAATCATGGAAACATGAACTTCCTACATCAGTGGCTCCATTTAACTTACTGTGATGAATACCAGTCGTTCCTTAACCCCTCCTTGTAGCCTCCGCTCTACATCGCACTTACCTCAGCCCTCTCCCCTTGACTCCAGCCTGCTTTATCCCCTCCCCTCATCTCTGCTCTGCGTGTCTAGAGCCTTAGAGCCTACACTGACCCTCCTCGCCTCTGTGGCATGAGCTTTCCCCAATGGCAACAGGTAACCAGGGAGGATTTGCAGGCCTCCCCTCCGTCCTGTAAATATTTATTGAGCACTGTATCAATTGTTAGGGAGACCAAGATAAGACTTGCTCAGTGCCCTCATGGAGCTCAGCACTCCTAGGTTGTTAAGAATGCAGCTCCTCAAGCAGGTGACCTTTGAAGCGGATTTTGAAGGATGGAGGAAGTTAGTGATTAACATGGTGAGTGGAATGGTCATTCTGTGCAGAGAGGCAGACACATTTTAAAGTGCAAATGCACAGAAGGGCGGTCACTTCTAAGAACACTGAGTAGACAAAGTATGAAGAGAAGGCTCCATAGGTATAAAACAGATCAGAGGGCTGTATCGTGATAGGCCGGGGCCTTGTTCTTTCTTCTTACATATGCATCTGTTGGAATATTGGCAAAGGATTACTGCACGGTGTTTATGTTGAAGATCAGATTACTCTGGCAGCAGGTGGAAGGTAACATTTTGGGTGGGGTCCACATGGGGTGGAAGGAAGATAATCCAGGCAGGTGCAGTAGGTAACCCAGACAACAAGTGATAAGCATCTAAACAGAGGCCGGGGGCAGCTACTAGAATTCGGGGGAGGCAGGTTTGATGAGTACTAAGAGGTGACCCTGGCAGTACAGAGTGAGACTGACCGAATGTGTGGGGTGGAAGGAGGGAGAAGAGCTGCTGTGGAGGAGACGTTTTAGTGCTATTTTGGGAGTGATTTGCGTGCAGGACACCAGAAAGGCAGTACCTCCGAGGAGCCATGGATGAAGCCGTGTGGGTGGGTCAGGCAGGAGATTCAAGAGTGTGGCAGAAAACTGATCCCGAGTCCCTGGGGAAAGGGGGCGTTTAAAGAGTAAATAGGAGAAGTGGGCCCACAGACACAAGGAAGAGCAAAACGGGCGGAGGAGCAAGTGCAGCACAGTGGTTTCAACACACAGAAGTCTGGGAGGGATTTGAAAGTGACAAAGGGAGAGAAATGAAAACGAAGGTGCTGTTCCATAGAGGGGAGCGTTGGGTCAGTGGTCAAAACTGAAACAGAACTAAAAACGTGAGTGGACTCTGGAATGTGCAGTCGCCTACAGGGTTAGCAAGAGATTCAGGGCAGCAGTGCAGGCTGCCGTAGGATTTGGAATCTGCGGAGGGAACAGTGGTGGGTGGAGAAGGAACCAGTGTAGACGTCCTTCAAGAACGTGACAGGAAAGTGAAGAGGGAAATCTTAGAGAGCATTATAGAATCCTGACAAAAGTTTCAGGCAAGGCGGGGGATTTAGCTCAGCGGTTCGGTGGCCTGCCTTGCAAACGCAAGGACCGAGTTCAATCCCCGGTACCAAAAAAAAAGTATAAAAAAAAAAAAAAA